GCATAAATTGTCATTTGCAAACAAATGACAAAACAAAAAAATGCAATGTCAGAATTATGCACAATGTTGTTGTGGAAGTTTTCAGCTTGTCCAAGAAAGGGTGGAAGTAAAAGGCTGAAGACCAACTGGACGTCTTATGCAGGAGAAGTTTATTTATCATCAACAATACAGGCCCGGGGGACTGGAAAAGTCAACATAATGTGATTTCAAAAGTGAACATAATAGATAATAATGCATCAGTTTTATATGGTGTTTTTTTGGACACTCAAAGACACTTTACAGAGCATTATTCATTTACTCCACACCCGGTGGTGATAAGCTACACTGTAGCCACAGCTGCCCTGGGCCAGACTGACAGAAGCAAGGCTCCCAATCTGCACCATCGGCCCCTTCGACCACCAACATCACTCGCACACACACACCACTTTCGTACTAGGCAATGAGGGTGAAGTGCCTTGCCTAAGGACACAACAACAGTTTTCAGGACTGGCGCCCTCCTGTGGCTCCTGGAATTCCCAGTGCCTCCTGTCCAAGTCCTGACCAGGCCCAGCCCTGCTGAACTTCTGAGATCTGACGACATCAGGCTTTGACAAACTGATATGGCCACATAAATCTTGATCTTCTCGATGATCTCTGAGTGTTCAAGCTCCTTAACTGTGCTTCCAGAGGAGGAGGTTTATAAAGCAAGTGTGGTGAGACGATGAAGGCCTGTAGACACTGGTTAGACAGAAATATAACTTTTTTGTGTCAGTGTTAAACTGAAGATAAATTACTTAAATTCTCTTACAAATGTTACACACTCTTTTCACTATTTTATTCATAACAATCATCCCAACCCAGGAGTGTCCCAGTTTAGAATTTTGAAAATCTGGTCACCCTATACGTTTACTACTACTGCTACTGCTACTACTACTACTACTACTACTACTACTACTACTACTACTACTACTACTACTACTATTATTCTTATTGCTTTTTGTTCCTGGTTGGACACGGCCAGTATATATGATGTAAACCTGCACACAGAGGTGGTAGAGTAGCCAAAAATTTAACTTAATAAGAGTAATGTAACTTCAAAACTTAAGTAGAAGTACAAAGTAGTAGTCCAAGAAATTCAGGGAAGTAAAAGTAAAAAAGTATTTGAGAAAACTATTACTTAAGTAAGAGTAATTTAAAGAGAAACTGTCAGGCCGTAACATCTGATATATAATTTGAAGTGAATGTGGTTTGAAGGACAAAATATTCAATACCACATAAAATTTTGTGTTTTTAAAGGTTTACACAAAAATTAGACAAACTAAATCATCAAGAGTAGCCAAAACTTTTACTCATTTCAGTGTACTTTTACTTCAATAAGAATATAACTCAAGTAGGAGTAGAGAAAAGCATTCTGACAAAAGTAAACGTAAATGCAACTACGTGCCTCTACATACTTAAAGGTAATTCCACAACTGTCACCTAGCAACCATAATCCTAACAAGGACCAAAAATACTTATGATTTGACCAATAAAATAAATGACAACACATTTATTTTGTTAAATGTAGGTTTAAATGATCAGAAAATGCAGTGTAAATGGTTTTCCGTGTTGACGACCAAAGCAGAGAGATTCTGTTTTAGAACTCAACGCTACTTCTTGAATTTTTATACATTTCATTTCAAACTGATATAAAAATATAATAACTATTGAGTGCAGGTACTTTCCCATGAAGAAAAACATGAAAACTTGTAGTACACACTGTAAAGGTGCATTGTGTAACTTTTCTGGTGGAGCGTCCGTCAAATGCTTTTCTTTGTGGAGCTGTTGTTGCTTGTTGTTGTTTGGAATGTTTCACAGTGTGGCATTAAAGGGCCCATCTCATGCAAAATCAACTTTTCAGAGCTTTCTACCTTCTAAGAGTGATGTGTGGGCCTTGTATTTGTCGCCGAAGTGGTTTTTAGATTGATTCAGTGTTTTTTTTAACAAATTGCAGCGTATTTCTGCCACCCTCCCACGTGACAACGAACAAAAGCTGCTACAATGATGACACGGCAGATACACCTATGACGTGTTTGACATAGCAGAAAACGCTTCACACCCGCCCCCCTCCCCGCTCCACCTCCTCCGCCCCGCATCAGTTGATAATACACGCATTAAGAATCTCGGACTTTTGGCCATTGCTCAATTCATACTGGGAAGGATTTTCTGAAAAAGTGAGCATCAAACCGCCATGTTTGTTTTCCCAGTGGGATGTGTCTATTGTCAAAGTATTTTCTAGTTTTTTGAACCATATCGCTTTTGTTTCTGGTTCTGATATTGTCATATTTTAGTTTTGGGATTCGGACATTGTAATTTTGTGGTTGTTGGATCCTAACAGCAGAAAACGGCTCGAGAAATGTGTTTGCGAACTCCATAGATGCAAAAGTGAATCAGATGTGTGTGACTCAAACCTCTGTTCAAACTGTTTCTCTTCCCAACGGAATTGAAAAATAGTGAAAGGTGAAGGTGATGGGCAGGACTG